CACACACACACACACACACACACACACACACACACACACACACACACACACACACACACACACACACACACACACACACACCTTTGTCATAAAGTAGTCCCGAATCTAAAATGGTGCCTTTGATTCCTTTATGTTACTAATTATTTTCACTGTCAGTCAGCGTAATTATTTAGGTCACCAAGCAGAACTGGGATCACTACTGAGTGATTTTATTGACTTTTTTACTCCCAATGCTAGTTGGATCCATTCAGTCGTTGTGTTGATGCTAAGCTAAAGCAAGAAGAGTACAGCTGGGTCAGAAGAGTGGCTGGGCTGGTTAAAAATAGCATTTTCCACTTGTGTAACTCAACATTTCAATGTCCCTTTAATAATGTTTCCTGCTTTATAAATTCATGCAGTTATTAATCTGTCTGAATAGGTTACATCACTAAACAAATTCAAACCACCAACATGGTACAGAACTCAGAGCCGTTTGTATGCTTCCCTTAGAAATACAGAGGATGAGAAGAAAACACGCTTCCTTGTTGTTTTTGGAAGAAAAGGTTGATTACTTTACAATTACTGACTAATACTTGTTGTAGGGATAGATATTTAATGCTGAATTCTGCTTCACTCCTCAACTTTTTCTTCTTCTCCCTTCTTCCAGCTCTTAGTCTCGCTTCTAAAGAGGTGGTCCAGAGTCCAGCTCTCTGTCAGCTTCTTCAGGTCATACTAGCCTTTGGAAACTACATGAACAAGGGACAAAGAGGAAATGCCTATGGGTTCAGAGTGTCCAGTCTCAACAAGATGGCTGACACTAAGTCTAGCATCGACAGGTAGGTTTTACAGGTAAAGCACAGCTGTTCAGGTCAACAGAAAGTCCTGCTTTTCTGCTTACCTGAGGGGTTCATTGGCCCATTTCTGGAGGTATTTGTCTGAATACCTCTAGAAATGGAAACCATTGGCTATAGACTACCTGACTGTTGCCCATGTTACAGCAGGTTGGTGCTAAGTCCTAAATGACTTGTGTAGGGCTGCAACTAACGATTATTTTCATAATCGATTAATCTGTCCATTATTTTTTCGATTAATTGATTAATCGGTTTGTTATTGTTTAGCTATTTAACCTATACAAGTGACGAATACATTTCAGTTAAGAAAAAGAAAAACATAAGAGAATTTTGCAGTTGACTGCAATCTATTTTATTGCACAAGAACACAGTCAGCGGTGTAAAATGAGCTAAACAGTGCAAAATATCAGTCCAGAATAATTTTTTGGCATCAAAATATGAGGTAAATTCCATAAAAAATAATGTAGAATCTAGAATAGAGTTTGTAAGTGGTATGCATTGCTGGGGGTGAGTGTCTTGTTCCCCATGTAGTTGTCCATCGTTGCTTGTTTTTTTCTGCATGAGAAACACAAATAGACTGAAATAAGTACACATATAAAATAAAGCAGCACACACACTACAACACTAAATCAATATTACATTATTTGAATTAATTAACAGTGATCATTTATTTTGACAAAAAATGTGTTGTGAGGCGTTTTACAGCGTTAGACGGTAAAACAGCCTTTTAATAGTAAAAAAAGGACTTTCTGAATTTCTCCTGTATTTAAAAATTGAAAGCGTACAACTATGCCGCGTTATATTCACCTGGACACAGCTCGTCTGTACATTTTTCTCCGCGGAGTTGTCCTTTTTTGAATGAGGAACACAGTTATGGGTTTGTGCCGTTTTTCTCTTAACGAGAACATTCTTATAAACAGACGTGCTAAATTTGGCAAGCGCATGATTCACAACACGGAGATTCACGATTGCATCTAGTCAATCAGAAGTAGAACATCGTAGACTGATGTGGCAAAAAAAACATGTTTAACATCCACTATAACAAACTCAGCTAACACTAAGTCCCAAATTTGATCTGCGTTAGCTTGTTTATTTTCTGTTACTTACCGGACATTCCTCTGCTGCATTTGCCCCCACGTTTTCGTCTCAAATGTTCACTTAGGGACGTCGTGCTTCCGTGCCATGCTAGATGGTTTTTGCATATTTTGCAGGTCACCCGTCTTTTCAAGGCATCTAGTGAAGTGCTCCCATACTCGTGAGGTTTTTGTCCGGGGTTTCTCTTGTTTTGTCGCTTCTATTTTTCTTCCGTATTTCTTGTTGATCCGCCATCTCTCACAGCAAGATGAGCGTCAGTAACGTGATACGTCATGAAAACCGAGGGCACTTATTGGCTCATTTCTTCTTCTACAGCTCCACTGGTAGATCAGTGGCTCATTACTGCCACACACTGGGGGCAAATTTAACAGATTGTAACCGATGTCAGATTGTGGTAAAAAATAGACTTTATGCGGTAAAATATGATTATTAAACAACTAATCGATGACTAAAAAAGTTGTTAACTATTTTAATAATCGATTATAATCGATTAAATCGATTAGTTGTTTCAGCTCTAGACTTGTGTTTGCAGAAACTTCACGCTGCTGCACTACATGATCTCTGTGCTGGAGGAGAAATTTCCAAAAGCTGCCATCTTCAGCGAGGAGCTACAGAATGTTCCAGAAGCTTCTAAAGTCAAGTAAGAAGCACAAGCACACTGTAGAGAATCAGGTATAACAGAAGCATTCTGGTTCACTAGAACATGTCACAATCTTTATTCTCATTCTGGGTGTGGTGAACGCTGGCGTGACTGCTTGCTGCTGCCCACCCGCCGGAGACTAACAAACCTTCCTACAGAACTTTATGAACTCGTCTAGAGCACTTTTGACCCAATTAACCTAATCTATCAGACATATTACTGGCATACTCCTGTCATTGTGTTAATTATTCGTTCTTCATTGTCCAGCAGACCTGCATATCAGTCTATGAACGTTGCAGTAATCCACCTCATGCTGAAGCAAATTGGAGCTGTAACTTCAGTAACTCCTGACCAGTTTATAACCTTCTTCTCATCTAAAGCAATCATGAAAAATTGTAGCTTTACAACTCCATCAGCATCTGTCATTAAAGTCAAAGTCAGAGTCCAGTTAGTCATCATCACACGTTGGTTTAATTACATTTTTGCATTTGACCCATCCCTGTGGGGAGCGGTGAGCTGCAGATCTGGCTGTGCTCGGGAACCATCTGGTAGTTGAAGGCCCCAGGATGGGCTGGACCCGACTGGGATTTCAAGCCCAGTGTCCCATTCACAGGGTGAACACTCAAACCACTAGGCCACTGAGAATGTTCAATAATTTCCACGAAGGCTCTGTGCTGAGGCCTCTGCTCTTCCTCTTCTATCTCTTTAGCAGATCCTCCTGCCATCTTTATGCAGATGACATCCAACTGTACATCTCCTTTAAGCCCCATGAGATGTCTAAGCTGCAGCTGTTACACACCTGCTTAGACTCTATCAAAACCTGGATGGTGGGAGCTTTCTTCAGCTGAATGAAGATAAGACTGAGATCCTCATCTGTGCCCCAGATAAGCTGGTTCCCAAAGTCAGAGACTCTCTTGGTCAGCTTGCTTCTCACACCAAACCTTCTGTCAGGAATCTTGGCGTGACCTTTGACCCAGCTCTCACCCTGGATTCTCATGTCAGTTCTCTTGTTGGCTCTTCCTTCTTCCATCTCAGGAACGTTGCTAAGCTGAGTCCCATTCTGTCCCGCTCTGAACTTGAGACAGTTCTCCACACCTTCATCTCCTCACGCTAACCCCGGTTTCACACTGAATGTAGTGCAGAGATTACTTCCTGCTTCTCTTCCATCTTAATTAAGTTTAACTCTGACGAAATTGAAGACCTTGTCATTGGCACAAACTTGGCATTAGGGAAAGCGGAAAGTTCTCAATAGCAATAGAAAATACTACAGCTACTTGCCTGGATCCTTATGGTGTTTTCACACTTTGGTCAGCTTGGCCTGGGGCGGTATCCACACAGCCAGGTTGTGTCTACCGAGCCTTCTTAACATAGTAGACATGTGGGTTAACATGTGTAGAGAAGCGTGGTGGTCTTCCTAAGCCCCACAGTGTAGTAAACAATAACATGCATGATCAATGTTGCTATTGGAGACTGTGTGTGTGTGTGTGTGTGTGTGTGTGTGTGTGTGTGTGTGTGTGTGTGTGTGTGTGTGTGTGTGTGTGTGTGAGACATGAAGCACACAGCTTCCTACTTCCCCCGGGTCTCTGCACTCCGGAGGAGACCTCTGGATCTCTGGGGCTTGGAACTCCTCCGTCTTCCTTGGGTCTTTGGGGGCAGGTCTGTGGTTTTTCTCCTCACCTCTTTCTTTCTTATTTATGTGGCAGAGGCTTTTATCCAAAGCAGCGTACATTAGTTAACCTATAGGGCATGTTGTGATCTGTGGGGGAAACCGGAGTACCCGGAGGAAACCCGCGCATGCATGGGGAGAACACGCAACTCCACGCAGAAAGGCAGCATCTGAGTTTCAAACCTGCAACCTTCTTGCTGCGAGGCAACAGGGCTAACCACTGCACCACCGTCCAGCCCTTCTCTTCCTCTTCCCCCTTCTCTTTTGTTTCTCTCATCTGTGTACAGTGGGATTTAAAACAACCAAAAATATTTCTAATGAAGTTTTGGTGTCAGCCGAGGCATTATAGCTGAAGCCATACTGCTCTACCTGCGAGAGTAAAACTGTAAGGCTTGTCTTTGGCACTCAGACATCAGTTCTTTACAGCTGGACAGCACACGGGGGAAAAAAGACTACCACTTGTAGGTAGGCGCGACAGTGAAATATCTTAAGCTGGCCAATCAGTCCATAAATGGGTGCATATAGAGCTCCGGACGTCACGTGACTCTCAGAGCGTAGACGCCATGTTGGCAGGCAACAAAGGTAAGCAAAATGAACGGGATCGGCTTGGATTTTACGCCGTCAGAGTTTACTTCCCACTTTAAAACCGAAGAAATCATTTTATATTGTCAGTAATTAAATAGACTAAACATCTCCGACCCTTACCATGCCCCTGGGATACTTTTTTAAAACGCCAGAAGCTGTCGGAGCGGGCCGGGCCAGGGAACGCCTTGGGATTTCCCCGGAGGAGCTGGCCCAAGTGGCTGGGGAGAGGGAAGTCTTGGCCTCTCGACTCAGGCTACTGCCCCCGCGATCCGACTCTGGATAAGCGGGTGAAAATGGATGGATGGATGTACAGATAACATAGATTTACTTGTAAGAAGTTTAAATAGAGTGCTGTGCTGTTTGAATGTATAAACTGAACGCCAAGAGAAATCACTAGTCTGATTTTTTTCCATGAATAAAATAAATATGTCTCAGGATCTGTCTGAGATCTGTCTCAGTGAGACAGATAATAGCAATCCAAAGTGCTTTTTGATGTGTGATCTGACAAGTGATCAACCATTGCTTAAAAATTAGAGGGACATTAAGGAAGTGTGACAGCCAAAGCATGTATAGAAATAATAAATGTCTTCTTCATACATTCTCCTGCAATGCCCTGGTCCTGTAGAATGAGCCCTGGCATTTTTACTGGGATTGCCTGTTTTTCTGTAAAATCACAGAAAAAGAGAGATGCTCGGGTCGAGCAGGCTGCTTCATGCGCGTTCACGCTCAGGCATCGCCCGTAGCATTTGCTATCCGTAGCTTTAGCAGCAGAGAGAGAGGCAGTGCCACTTTGTCGCTGTTCCTAACGCCTAGTGACAAAGCTAGCTACATTTCTGAGGACCCTTAGCTACTTTCTGTAGAACTTTCTTCTAGATATTTCCTGCTAATTAGCAACAAAACAGCCATTTTCACTCCGAACCGTTCTTTGGTTTGACGTTGTTTCAGCTGTCATCAAGGATATAAATGTTACAGATACAAATGACATTACTGGTGCTTTAGCTCACCTTGTAAGATGTCTGACTCTCACGCAGAAGACCCGGGTTTGATTCCGGATGTGAACATCGTTTATTTAGAGTTTATTTTTTACATTAATGGTATATTTTTTGCAGTAAGATGCCCAAATTTGTATTTGAGACTCGCCGAACGGCATTGAATTCACAGATAAAAAGATGTGGGTTCAACTTTCATTTTGGAACAATTTTTCAAGCAAGGGAAGGGAATGATCTGAGCATGCAGGAGGACTGACCCATCATAAACCTTTGTCGGCTGTGCTGAAGAGAAAGGTACAGAACCAAATTATTTAATTAATTAGCTGCATGTTCTCCTGTCCTCTGTCCTCTGGGCCACACACACACACACAAGGGACTGTCTCAGCTGTTATTTTCGTTGAGGAGTGTGCACGTACAGCATGCGCGCCTCGTGCATGAGCCTTCTATTGAAGCTGCCATTACGCTTTTGGCCTGAGGGGGCAATCGCGAGCTTAAAAATTCAAAACTCCATAAAGTCCCTTTAAATAGAGCTTAGCCGGTTAATTGCTGTGATCATAAAACACGTAAACGGCAGCACGCAGGAATCACGAGGCAACGTTTTACGTGATGTTTACTTGTTGCTATGAGTAATAAGACAGAAAAAGCCCCGCCAAAATAAGTTTAGGAAGCCTGCTAAGAATCGTAATAAAAGCATTTTAAATAAATACCATACACAGTTGAGGAAACGTACCTGATGTGAAGTGGTCGCTGCATAAGCGAAAACCTTTATTCTCGGGATCCTACAGCTTCATTTTAGCCCGGTCAGCAGCGTGTTTTACTGCAATGATCTAACGTCTACGGCATTCCGGATCTTGGGGAATCCTGTAGAAGGCTCATCCCTTATATCGTCCGCGTCTCTTCTGGCATCCTAGGGCACAACAGGAATCTACCATATTTCCCGTTTGAGTTTTCTGACAATAACAAATAGCCCAGCTGGAGGCTTCTGCCTGCCAAGATGGCACAATTTTTGGTTTGAACTGTTGCATGCGGGGAGAAGTGACGTCAACCCCCGGAGCTCTATGATCAGCTCAGCATGAAATAAACCGCAGGGAAGCAGGGATGAAAAAAATCTTTGGCACCACATGAACAACAAACGGACAATGCCAATGTACTGCAATGGCCACACCCAGCCCAAACCAAGCAGATGCAAGTGCAAATGCCCTTTTGTTGTCGTCCTGGACAGTTGATTCAATTCACTTCAATTCAGTTTATTTCTACAGCGCCAAATCACAACAAGAGTCGACTCAAGGACCTTCACACAGTAAACAATCCAATACAGGCCAGGTCATTAAGCCAATCAGTAACAAGTTTCCTATATAAGGAGGCCAGCAAATTGAATCAAATTGCTTTACAGCAATCCTCATACTAAGCAAGCATGCAGCGACAGTGGAGAGGAAAACTCCCTTTTAACAGGAAAAAACCTCCAGAGAATCTCGGCTCAGTATAAGCAGCCATCCTCCACGACTCACTGGGATGGAGAAGACAGAGCACACACACACACACACACACACACAGAGAGAGAGAGAGAGAGATAAACTTTATTGTATTTATCCTAGTGGATCTATAATTAAACGGGTAAACTAGTAGTAGCACATCCAACGTCAAGGAAAGTAAAAAGTTATTATCAGGAGAGGGAGAATGTTTAAGTGGTTAGCAGCAGTGTGCTAGACGATGGCCCCCTCCATGAGGCCACCACAGCTCAGCAGAACATCGTTGTAGCTTCTTCTGGGGAGAAAAACACTTAGAGAGAAAATAAAGTTAACAGCTGAAATAGCAGGAAATAATACAGTTAAAGAGCAGATAGTAGAAGAAAGCAGTAGAGTGTGAAAAGTGGTCAGTGTATCCTCCAGCAGTCTAAGCCTATAGCAGCATAACTACAGAGATAACTCTGGATAATCTATCCTATTTAGATGGAGGCATGATGGAGTCAGGGCAAGGGAGAGCCGTCTTTACCGACTGTACACTCCACCTCCCTCTACTCCCCCACTTGTCCAGATTTAGGCTAACATCAGATTTTAACTATAGGCCCTATCAAATAAAAATGTTTTAAGCCTATTCTTAAAAGTAGACAAGGTGTCTGCCTCACGGACTAAAGCAAGATCTGGCTCAAATTAAGCACTGCCCCTAAGGGTATAGAGCTGAACCAGTGTTCCACGACCAGGACAAAAACCGCATTGCTCCTCCTTAATCTGAGGTTCGACAACGTAGCAGACCCTCCTCTCCAGAACCCATGAATAGACCTTTCCAGGGAGGCACAGGAGTGTGATGTAAAGAACTCTATTATGGTTCAGATACCCCATGTTATATATGTTGAGTATCAGTTTGGACCGCTAATTTAATAACTGAAAATTTCAACAATAAATTCAGTCAAAACAATTGCTAATAACCTCTGAATGAATGTATCGCAAATGTCGTGATGCATTGTATCATCTCCCCAGTATCATGATACGTATTGTATCGCCAGATTTTCACCAATACACACCCCTATTGGATTAGACCTCACCCACCCCGGGGAATAGCCAGATCCTTACCCATTGTTCAAGCCTGGTTGCAACACGATATGGTAATTTGTGTCAAAAGCACCAAATAAGTCTGGTAGAAGATGCAATACTACCTCCCCAGAGTTGTTTGATAAACACACGTCATTAAAAGATTTTAAAGTGCACACTGCATGGTGTAGCCTACCCTGGAACCAGATTAAAAATGGTTCATAGCAGCCTTGCTCATCCGGAATCCTATCAGCTGGTGATACAAAGCCTTCTATGCTGATATGCGTGGTACACCAGGTATGGAAACACTGCTAAAATCAATGGGCAGCACACATGCATATTAAATCACCAACCAGAAGCACAAGCTCAGGCCTTGCCATTATTCCCCCTCCCCAGAAGCTCAGAAAATTCCTTAATAAAACATTTGTTGTATTTGGGGGATGGTAAATCAGTGCCACCAACAGGGCCGGTGAAGCATCAGCTGGGCAGAACTTCTGGGGAGAGCTGTTTACAGCGACAACAGGAACGAAAAGATCCAGAAATGGCTGTCAGACTGATAACAACTTGTGAGCAATTTAATGACCCCCCCCCCCCCCCCCCCCCCCCCCCCCCCCCCCCCAGCCCCTTGTTTGTTTATGCTGTTAATGAGGTTGAATGTTTTTGGTAACTGCTGACTGTGCAGTAAATTGCCCTTTGAGGACAATAAAATGTCCTAACCCTAACCCCTTAGCACTTTAAAGGTGTCAGGGAGTGTTTGGTCAGTCTGACAAAACTGCAGCGGAAACGAATCACAACCCACTCTAAACCTGGCCTCCTGGGTGCCTGTCTTTGCAGTTTGACTGAACTTGAAAAGGAAATTAGCATTCTGCGGTCTGGGCTGACCAGCATCAAGGCGGTGAGCATGCTCAGTAAAGCTTCAAAACCCGCTAGTGCATGCGTGGAATGAATGATATATGTGTGCACATGTGCAGGAGCTGCAATACCAGCAGGCACAATCTTCCCAGTATCCAATGGACAGGTTTGTTCCTGTGGTCAGCCAGTTCATCACGGTGGCATCCTTCAGCTGTTCTGATGTGGAGGACTCCTTACAAGATGCCAAGGACCTGGTGAGTGTCTTCTCAGAAGAACAGTGTTTCTGGGTAGTTTCTCCCCCACTATTCATGTCCCTTTAGGAAAAATGGGTCTTGGAGTCGAGTGAAAAACATAAAACACAATCATTCTCGACAATGACCATCAGAACAGTAGAAATGATAGACTAGTAGAAGAAGAAACAATTATATAACTCCTCTCAATATAAAAATCACAAAACAAAAAACACATTTAAAAAGATAACATATTTAAAAGATGATTAGAAATATTATTAAATAAATGGGGAAAATGGAAATTCTTTAATTAAAAATGAGGAGGAGGAAAGCAAATGATCTAGAAAAGGTAATATTTGATCCCAGGAAAGACAGAATCGGTAGAAACCGCAGCATCAACAGAAGGTCCCGCCAAAGCCTGAAAAGGTGAGTTGAAAGTGAGAGTGTGTATTTTCCTGGCAATAGGAGGCAGTACATTCCTAAATCGTTGCAAACAAGTTGTACCGTAAATCCTCTAATACAGGCCGGTATTCAATTAAAGGCCGGGTCTCCAATTTTGGCCGGTGTCAGAGTCAGCGGAGGTGTATAATGGCCAGTCTCATATTGTGGCCGGGTGGAATGTGGTAACAAGCAAGTATGAGCGTCCCAGCGGCAGGGTTATAGTCCCCAAATCAACCAGCAGGAGGCAGTACAGGTTCACAGAGACCTTTATTAGGCTTTTTCTTCAACGCTTTGTAACGCTACAGACATGATCCTCTATCACACTCCTACCACACAGAGTCACGGTGTCAGTTAACCATGCTAATTCAACCCCTCCACAGAACACACATCACCTTCCCTGTGGCTTACATAACACTCACACAACACGCAAATCAGCACATAGGAACTAGCAGAACGATAGGAAACACATATAACACAATACCCAGAAGGCACCTGGCTTACAACCCCAGCCAGGTCATTACACTATCAAGTTCAAAGAGAACGTGCTGATTATGCTGCAGAACACTCTGGAGAGCAGCAGTAGGGGGTGTATGAACTACAGTAATCCCTCGTTTATCGCGGTAGATGCGTTCCAGACCTGGCCGCGATAGGTGAAAATCCGCGAAGTAGGGACTCCCAGCATGCCCCTCGCGGGGATTCCCTTCACGTTGCACCTACGTCACAAACCGCGGCTATAAACGGAAGTCGCCTTTCCACCTCAGTCATCGTTTCTTCAGATTCATGATCAGAGTTTCCAACCTACCGATCAATCCAACGAACCATCAGCTCATAGTAAGTTATCTTACTTACTTCTGGAAAGCCCGGCATTTCCGTGTCACTTCGTTGACGCTCGAACGCTCGGGGGTTTCCTAGATCAGCCGGGGTGTCACCGACGCTATCACTTCCGCGTCTGTGAAACCACGCTCCCTATTGAATTATCGTATGATCACATTCTCTTTTTGGGGGTAAAACTCAAGAAATTTTTTTTTACTTAGTTTTATTACAAAAAGTGCATTTTATGATGAAATTGATGAAAAAAAAACAAGAATTTCTTGATATTTCGCATGGGGGGGGGTGCGGCACCGTGCTGTGCCAGACCGTAGGTACTGACACGCGATCGTTCATGTCGGTTCATTTCCTTTAATGTTTTCTGTCTTTTATTTGCGCCTGATGCGTTTCGCTGCTGTGGAGCGGGGCGCATCACCTTGTCCTGCACTGATCACTGATACGGCCGCCAAACAGCGAGCGCTCTGCTGTTTTAGCGGTCGGTAGATCTTTTAGAACTGCAGTTCAAAGGTAACTCATGAGGTGAATAAATATGAACCCAGGTAGCAGTTTCTCTTTAGGACTGAGAGGAGATGCAGGAAGATAATAAACAGGCAGGACAGAAAAATAGTCAAATAAAAACAAGTTAGTTTTTGTACCTGCTGGTTGCAACAAACAGACACCATTGAAGGTAATCAGAAGTGAGGAACAGAAAATGAAATAATTATTTTAATGTTTAGAGCAGCAGGAACTCCGAGAGGCTGCAGGCGCATCAGTGAGTTTGCGGCTGCTGCACAGGGGGAGGGGGGGGAGGGCTGAAGCAGGGGGGGGGGAGGGCTGAAGCAGGGGGAGGGGGGAGAGGGCTGAAGCAGAAACTACCGTTGTTAAAAGAAATGTGTTTAACTTTGAAAATGTGGCCGCAATTTTAAATGTCAAAAACTCCAGCGAACCATTAGTTCATTTTGCTCAAATAGAAATAGAGGCCTGCCTCTAATACTGGCCCTCCTTCCAATAAAGGCCTGGAGCTTGATGAGCTTGAGTCAAATACAGGCCCGGGCCTGTATTAGAGGATTTACGGTATTTTTGAGTTGGAGAAAGACCTTACCAAGGGATGCCCATTAGGGTATAAAAACCCTAGGGAGTGCAAACTTCAGCCAAGTAAACACATCAGACTGTCTTTCATCACAAGAAACAAGGAAGGAGGTAAATGTGTAAAACATCATCTCAAAAATCAACATCGTGCCACAGCGTGACCCTCTTCAGCAGCTTGTGTCAAATTAGGTGATGTACCTGTCACTGTCATGACTCGCAGGAGGTGTTTAACCCCAGACATGCAGAATCAACACGACTTCAATAGGTGGGTAAAAAGAAAAGTTATTTATTTTCTAAGCAGGAACTAAAGTGCACTGGTAAATCCTGTGAGGGTGTGCCGTGTGGCGTTAGTCCATATGGTAGTCCACGACGTGTGGGAAAGGAGGGTAGCCAAGGTGAGCACAGGTGGAATTCAGCGGGCTGAGGCAGGTGAGGCAGCGGAGATAAACAGGCAGGCGTAGAAGAGGATGGAACGTGGTTCTGGAAATCCGAGGTTCAAGCGGCGAGAGAAGTGTGAAGAGTTGAGTATCCTGAGCAGAGCAAAGAAACAGAGTTCAGGGGAAAATCCAAAAGGCATAATCCAGAAAAACAGTCCAAGGTTCAGAGCCAGTAATCCAATATCAAAGATCTAACAAGCAAACGGAGTCGAGAGGCTGGGGCTACCTAACCGGTGCAATCATCCGGCGCAGTGTGGTGTCTCCATCCTCCTTTTATACCTGACCTCCAGATTGGAGATTTGGCACACCTGCAGCACCCTCCGCTCCTCACCTGTGGAAGATTGCCTCAGAGATGGTTAGTGAGGAGAGAGTGCTCACCTCAGCTCAGGAACATGACAGGACCATTGTGTGCCCGTGTTCCCCTTCTTGTCTCACTCCTTGTGTCTCTTTAGAAGTCCCCCTGCCCTCGGTTCCAGTCTCGATAACTCCCAATAATTTCCTTCACCCAGAGTCCCAGTGTCATCTGTAGTTTTCTATGTCTTATATATAGTTCTGCAACTCTTCAGGTCACTGGTTATTTAACTTTAATGTCTCTAGTCCTGCAGGTTTAGGTTAGTTTTGTCGTACAGGTTTTATGATTTAGTTTCCTCCTCTACTTTGTTTTGCCTCCCCATTCAGTTAATTAGTCTCACCTATCTTCCATCAGCTCTCACTCCCCACACACCTGCTCCTGATCTCCTGACCTCTGCCCCGTGTTTAAAACCCTGCCTTCTCTCAGTGGTTGTTGGTTTGTTGTGTGCGTCTGTTGCCTCCCGTATTCCTGTTTCCAGTTTGCCTCCTGAGAGCTAGTTGAGTTTTGTTTTATCTCTGGGTTTTAACCCCCCCCCCCCCCCCCCCCCCCCCGAGCCGAGGACTACCTGACCGCTCATAAATAAAGACTTTGTTTTTCATTACACCACCTCCCTGTGCTGTCTGGGTTCCTGCACTAGGGTCCAACCATCCCCTGATCGTGACAGTACCAATCTAGTTGTTCCATCCGATTTCTGCCGAACCAAGTGATAAAAGCAAATGTAACACTATGGAGTAATAGAAAATCATCCTCAGGTGTTTACACAAACCAAATGAATCCAGTTTGCATAAGAAAAACAACTGTTGATGAGGCTCTTTTTGCTAGTCTCTAATCACTGAACACAGCCGGTACTTGTATTCCTAAACACGCTCCATTGGTGTGTAAAAGCTGGTGGAGTGGATGTGGCTCTTTGTGATAATAGTCTGTAAAACGTCTGGTCCCCTTATTATCTCTTCCTTTTTGCCAGACATTCCTGTAATCCATCAAAATGGTTCTGGATCAAAAGTTGTCTAGACTTTCTGAAGGTCTGAAGAAGTTTACTTTGGATCTTGGCTAAATTTTCTTTTTTTGGGTTTCCTGCTGCAGTTTCTGAAGGCATTGAGACATTTTGGAGAAGACTCATCCAACCTGCAGCCAGATGAATTCTTTGGCATTTTCAGCACTTTTTTGGCAGCATATTCAGAGGCACAACAAGACAACAAGGACATGGCTCGACGGCGTGAAGAAGAGGAGAAACGGGCACTAATGGAGGCTCAGGTCATTATGTACTTGAGTGATTTATTATCAGCTCTGTCTCAGGGATGGGTACCAAATTCTGTAATCTTTAAGGCACCGACTCAATTCCGTAGAACCGGCTGAGTACTGGTTCACGTCATGTGAAATGGTGCCTTTTATCGGTGCTGCGTGCCGGCGCAAGAGTGTGATGTTGTCAGTCACTGTGGGCGAGCAGTAAACAGAGCAGCATAGCAGAGGAAGTGTTCTGAAGTTTGGGTCCACTTCACTAAATGCTATGGGCTGTTGGGTAATGATGAAACCGGTAACAACGATCAGAGTATGAGGCATCTTAATCTGCTCCAGCAGCAGAAGAAGAAGAAAATATCATTTCTATAGCGCCTCTCAAGATAAAAATCACGAGGCGCTTCACAAAAACTAAAACAAAAAATATAAAAAAATGTAAAAATATAAAAAAGCATTTCGAAAATGTTTAAAAATATATTTAAAATGAGCAAGAATAAGCTATTGCGATTTAAAAGAAAAAATGTAAAGAAAGAGAGAGAGTGAACAGGAAAGAGGGAAACCAGTGGATCCTGAGGAAGGTGGAATAGGTGGGGAGAGCAGAATAAAGAGAGAGAGGTGAAGAAGGTCATACAAAAGCCAGCTTGAACAGGTGAGTCTTCAGCTGCTTTTTAAAGGAGACCACTGAGTCCACTGATCTCAGGCTCAGGGGGAGAGAGGTCCAGAGTCTGGGGCCCACAGCAGCAGATGATCTGTCACCTTTGCCCTTTAGCCTGGTGCTGCACAACCAGTAGGCTCTGATCAGTGGACCTCAGGGACCTGCTGGGGGTGTAGGGACTAAGAAGATCACCAATGTAAGATGGTGCTTGTCCATGTAAGGCCCTGTAGACCAGAACCAGGATCTTGAAATGAACCCTGAAGTTGACTGGCAGCCAGTGAAGCTGGAGGAGAAGCGGGGTGATGTGGGTGTGTTTGGAGGACTTGGTCAGAAGCCGAGCACAGGCGTTCTGAACCACCTGTAGACGGTTCAGGGAGGTTCTGCTCAGACACGTGAAAAGAGAGTTACAGTAGTCTAAGCGTGAGGAGATGAAGGTGTGGAGAACTGTCTCAAGTTCAGAGCGGGACAGAATGGGACTCAGCTTAGCAACGTTCCTGAGATGGAAGAAGGAAGAGCCAACAAGAGAACTGACATGAGAATCCAGGGTGAGAGCTGGGTCAAAGGTCACGCCAAGATTCCTGACAGAAGGTTTGGTGTGAGAAGCAAGCTGACCAAGAGAGTCTCTGACTTTGGGAACCAGCTTGTCTGGGGCACAGATGAGGATCTCAGTCTTATCTTCATTCAGCTGAAGAAAGTTCCCAGCAGGTAAATAAACTGTTTAAGATAACGTTAGCTTCATAGTTCAGCTTTTGTTTACATAGCTAATGATGCGTTCACCATGTCCTCGGAAATTCCAACTTCAGAAAAATAACCAGTTTAAAAATGAACGGCAAAAGGGATGAAGATACAAAGTAAATGTAGTTCACAGCAGACATGTTTGTTTCAGTGTAATCAGCAGTTTATAAAACTACAAGGACCCACCATCACACAGTTAATAAAACTACAAGGAACCACCATCACACAGTTCATAAAACTACAAGGACCCACCATCACACAGTTTATAAACAAGGACCCACCATCACACAGTTCATAAACAAGGACCCACCATCACACAGTTTATAAACAAGGACCCACCATCACACAGTTCATAAACAAGGACCCACCATCACACAGTTTATAAACAAGGACCCACCATCACACAGTTCATAAACAAGGACCCACCATCACACAGTTCATAAAACTACAAGGACCCACCATCACACAGTTTATAAACTACAAGGACCCACCATCACACAGTTCATAAAACTACAAGGACCCACCATCACACAGTTTATAAAACTACAAGGACCCACCATCACACAGTTAATAAAACTACAAGGACCCACCATCACACAGTTTATAAAACTACAAGGACCCACCATCACACAGTTAATAAAACTACAAGGACCCACCATCACACAGTTCATAAAACTACAAGGACCCACCATCACACAGTTTATAAACAAGGACCCACCATCACACAGTTCATAAACAAGGACCCACCATCACACAGTTTATAAACAAGGACCCACCATCACACAGTTAATAAACAAGGACCCACCATCACACAGTTCATAAACAAGGACCCACCATCACACAGTTCATAAACAAGGACACACCATCACACAGTTAATAAACAAGGACCCACCATCACACAGTTCATAAACAAGGACCCACCATCACACAGTTCATAAACAAGGACCCACCATCACACAGTTCATAAACAAGGACACACCATCACACAGTTAATAAACAAGGACCCACCATCACACAGTTCATAAACAAGGACCCACCATCACACAGTTTATAAACAAGGACCCACCATCACACAGTTTATAAACAAGGACCCACCATCACACAGTTCATAAACAAGGACCCACCATCACACAGTTAATAAAACTACAAGGACCCACCATCACACAGTTTATAAACAAGGACCCACCATCACACAGTTTATAAACAAGGACCCACCATCACACAGTTCATAAACAAGGACCCACCATCACACAGTTAATAAAACTACAAGGACCCACCATCACACAGTTAATAAACAAGGACCCACCATCACACAGTTTATAAACAAGGACCCACCATCACACAGTTTATAAACAAGGACCCACCATCACACAGTTTATAAACAAGGACCCACCATCACACAGTTAATAAACAAGGACCCACCATCACACAGTTAATAAAACTACAAGGACCCACCATCACACAGTTCATAAACAAGGACCCACCATCACACAGTTTATAAACAAGGACCCACCATCACACAGTTTATAAACTACAAGGACCCACCATCACACAGTTCATAAAACTACAAGGACCCACCATCACACAGTTTATAAAACTACAAGGACCCACCATCACACAGTTCATAAAACTACAAGGACCCACCATCACACAGTTCATAAAACTACAAGGACCCACCATCACACAGTTCATAAACAAGGACCCACCATCACACAGTTCATAAACAAGGACCCACCATCACACAGTTTATAAACAAGGACCCACCATCACACAGTTCATAAACAAGGACCCAGCATCACACAGTTAATAAACAAGGACCCACCATCACACAGTTCATAAACAAGGACCCACCATCACACAGTTCATAAACAAGGACCCACCATCACACAGTTTATAAACAAGGACCCACCATCACACAGTTCATAAACAAGGACCCACCATCACACAGTTAATAAACAAGGACCCACCATCACACAGTTCATAAACAAGGACCCACCATCACACAGTTAATAAACAAGGACCCACAATCACACAGTTAATAAACAAGGACCCACCATCACACAGTTCATAAACAAGGACCCACCATCACACAGTTTATAAACAAGGACCCACCATCACACAGTTCATAAACAAGGACCCACCATCACACAGTTCATAAACAAGGACCCACCATCACACAGTTAATAAACAAGGACCCACCATCACACAGTTCATAAACAAGGACCCACCATCACACAGTTCATAAACAAGGACCCACCATCACACAGTTTATAAACAAGGACCCACCATCACACAGTTCATAAACAAGGACCCACCATCACACAGTTAATAAACAAGGACCCACCATCACACAGTTCATAAACAAGGACCCACCATCACACAGTTAATAAACAAGGACCCACAATCACACAGTTAATAAACAAGGACCCACCATCACACAGTTCATAAACAAGGACCCACCATCACACAGTTTATAAACAAGGACCCACCATCACACAGTTCATAAACAAGGACCCACCATCACACAGTTAATAAAACTACAAGGACCCACCATCACACAGTTTATAAACAAGGACCCACCATCACACAGTTCATAAACAAGGACCCACCATCACACAGTTAATAAAACTACAAGGACCCACCATCACACAGTTCATAAACAAGGACCCACCATCACACAGTTTATAAACAAGGACCCACCATCACACAGTTTATAAACAAGGACCCACCATCACACAGTTTATAAACAAGGACCCACCATCACACAGTTTATAAAACTACAAGGACCCACCATCACACAGTTCATAAAATTACAAGGACCCACCATCACACAGTTTATAAAACTACAAGGACCCACCATCACACAGTTTATAAAACTACAAGGACCCACCATCACACAGTTCATAAAACTACAAGGACCCACCATCACACAGTTCATAAAACTACAAGGACCCACCATCACACAGTTCATAAACAAGGACCCACCATCACACAGTTCATAAACAAGGACCCACCATCACACAGTTTATAAACAAGGACCCACCATCACACAGTTCATAAAACTACAAGGACCCACCATCACACAGTTCATAAAACTACAAGGACCCACCATCACACAGTTCATAAACAAGGACCCACCATCACACAGTTCATAAACAAGGACCCACCATCACACAGTTTATAAACAAGGACCCACCATCACACAGTTCATAAACAAGGACCCAGCATCACACAGTTAATAAACAAGGACCCACCATCACACAGTTCATAAACAAGGACCCACCATCACACAGTTCATAAACAAGGACCCACCATCACACAGTTTATAAACAAGGACCCACCATCACACAGTTCATAAACAAGGACCCACCATCACACAGTTAATAAACAAGGACCCACCATCACACAGTTCATAAACAAGGACCCACCATCACACAGTTAATAAACAAGGACCCACAATCACACAGTTAATAAACAAGGACCCACCATCACACAGTTCATAAACAAGGACCCACCATCACACAGTTTATAAACAAGGACCCACCATCACACAGTTCATAAACAAGGACCCACCATCACACAGTTCATAAACAAGGACCCACCATCACACAGTTCATAAACAAGGACCCACCATCACACAGTTCATAAACAAGGACCCACCATCACACAGTTCATAAACAAGGACCCACCATCACACAGTTTATAAACAAGGACCCACCATCACACAGTTCATAAACAAGGACCCACCATCACACAGTTAATAAACAAGGACCCACAATCACACAGTTAATAAACAAGGACCCACCATCACACAGTTCATAAACAAGGACCCACCATCACACAGTTTATAAACAAGGACCCACCATCACACAGTTCATAAACAAGGACCCACCATCACACAGTTCATAAACAAGGACCCACCATCACACAGTTTATAAACAAGGACCCACCATCACACAGTTTATAAACAAGGACCCACCATCACACAGTTCATAAACAAGGACCCACCATCACACAGTTTATAAACAAGGACCCACCATCACACAGTTCATAAACAAGGACCCACCATCACACAGTTAATAAAACTACAAGGACCCACCATCACACAGTTTATAAACAAGGACCCACCATCACACAGTTCATAAACAAGGACCCACCATCACACAGTTAATAAAACTACAAGGACCCACCATCACACAGTTCATAAACAAGGACCCACCATCACACAGTTTATAAACAAGGACCCACCATCACACAGTTTATAAACAAGGACCCACCATCACACAGTTTATAAACAAGGACCCACCATCACACAGTTTATAAAACTACAAGGACCCACCATCACACAGTTCATAAAATTACAAGGACCCACCATCACACAGTTTATAAAACTACAAGGACCCACCATCACACAGTTTATAAAACTACAAGGACCCACCATCACACAGTTCATAAAACTACAAGGACCCACCATCACACAGTTCATAAAACTACAAGGACCCACCATCACACAGTTCATAAACAAGGACCCACCATCACACAGTTCATAAACAAGGACCCACCATCACACAGTTTATAAACAAGGACCCACCATCACACAGTTCATAAAACTACAAGGACCCACCATCACACAGTTCATAAAACTACAAGGACCCACCATCACACAGTTCATAAAACTACAAGGACCCACCATCACACAGTTCATAAAACTACAAGGACCCACCATCACACAGTTCATAAAACTACAAGGACCCACCATCACACAGTTCATAAAACTACAAGGACCCACCATCACACAGTTTATAAACAAGGACCCACCATCACACAGTTCATAAACAAGGACCCACCATCACACAGTTTATAAACAAGGACCCACCATTACACAGTTCATAAAACTACAAGGACCCACCATCACACAGTTCATAAAACTACAAGGACCCACAATCACACAGTTCATAAAACTACAAGGACCCACCATCACACAGTTCATAAAACTACAAGGACCCACCATCACACAGTTCATAAAACTACAAGGACCCACCATCACACAGTTCATAAAACTACAAGGACCCACCATCACACAGTTCATAAACAAGGACCCACCATCACACAGTTCATAAACAAGGACCCACCATCACACAGTTTATAAACAAGGACCCACCATTACACAGTTCATAAAACTACAAGGACCCACCATCACACAGTTTATAAACTACAAGGACCCACCATCACACAGTTCATAAAACAACAAGGACCCACCATCACACAGTTCATAAAACTACAAGGACCCACCATCACACAGTTTATAAACAAGGACCCACCATCACACAGTTCATAAAACTACAAGGACCCACCATCACACAGTTCATAAAACTACAAGGACCCACAATCACACAGTTTATAAACAAGGACCCACCATCACACAGTTCATAAACAAGGACCCACCATCACATAGTTAGTCCAGAGGAGTAAGGAGAGGGGAAGGAGTCCATGAAGCTGGGGTTGTTTTCATTTAGAAACAGTTGTTAAAGGTTTTCATGTTGAACAAGTTTGTCCAACACTACGATGATAAAATACAAACAGTTGTTTGTATTACGATATTTATCAAATATGATTATTTATTTGGAAAATAATATATATTTAATTAAATATGCCTTTTCGATAATTATTCAACATTCAAAAGTATTAAAAAAGGGTACTGTTAAGTACCAGTATCGTTTTGTAGGTACCGGGAAATGGTACCGTATTGATTCAAATGTCAACGGAACCCATCCCTGGTCTCAGTCTTCGAATGTTTCCTCATACTCCAGTAAACCCTGAGTCATCCTGATATTTTTCTGTCGGCAGATGAAGAAGGAACGGGTGCTGAAGATGAGGAAGGCTGCTGGAAATGAAGAAGAGGAGGGTGGAGAGTTTGATGACCTGGTGTCTGCCCTGCGCTCAGGGGAAGTGTTTGACCAGGGTCTGTCCAAAATGAACCACAGAAAGCCAAGGAAACACAAAGAGGTTGTGAGCGGCCGAGAAAGACCAGTCTCTAAACTGAATATGGACGAGGATGCTTGTGAACCATAGCAGCTCACTGGGAATGAATTGTGTCCACCATGTTTATCATATAAACACAATTTAAAACTCATCCAGAAGCTTCAGGCAGGGACCTAATCCGCTTAAACAGGTTTCTGCTGGTCACCCATAGCAGCCTGCGCGCCTGTCTCCAGTAAAGACCTGCCTTTGAACTCCACAATAACATCTGAATTCCTACTGGGAGGCTGATAATTATTGGATCAGGGCCGTAACCACCTATACGTTTTATAAGTGAGGCCTCCTCACCATCTCTTCAGCTATTCAGGGTCAAACAATGACTTGTAATGAACTGGCGTTAGGCCGTGAGCTCAAGCCTAGGAATCCTAATCACACATGGGCTGTTATCCTGCATGTTTTAGTTGTTTTCCTGCTTCTGCACAGCTTCATAAGATTTTGAACAGTTGATTCTAGCTTTGAAGCAGTGTGTGTGTGTGTGTGTGTGTGTGTGTGTGTGTGTGTGTGTGTGTGTGTGTGTGTGTGTGTGTGTGTGTGTGTGTGTGTGTGTGTGTGTGTGTGTGTGTGTGTGTGTGTGTGTGTGTGTGTGTGTGTGTGTGTGTGGCATCTTCAAAGCATGTTGACGACCCCTTGCTGTGGGACAATAAACCAGACTGAGGCAGTTTACCAGCACTCACACACCTGGGATTCCCACCTGACATCGATGGGCGTGGCTAACCAACAAGGCCTAAGTGGAAGGACACACCTACAGGGAAACAGCTAATGAAGACATGTAACACCTGGTGACAGCGACTGGAATATGTCCTGTTAAAAGTAATGTTTTTATTGTCTAAACAGAAAATGTAGAAATTTTGGCTGGCGGGATACACATGCCCTTTACAATTCACGTATGGTGAGAATTTGAAACACTGAGCAAGGAATCAATTCTATTTGAAAAACCAGTTCCTCTAATGGTGTATGGTTTGAAGTCAAATGTGCAAATAAACACTGTAGCACAATATTGATTTTTGAGATGCTACATTCATATGATGACTGGTCGATGCTGCTGCACGTGGCCATGGAGAGTGCAGCTGCTGCTGTTTCAGGTCCATGCTGCCGTGTGTCCTGGTGCTGCTGTCAGCCTCATGGCCTCTGCTGGGGGGTCACAGGGTTGCTGTGCATACCTTTATCACCTCATCCAATCAGAGTTTAGTGAGGATAACTAAAACTGTCACAATGTGCCACATCTCAGATCATAAAACCTTTAACTTCTCCCGTCTCGTCTCGTCTTCTTCCGCCTATCCGCGTTGCAGGGGCAGCATCCCAACTAGGGAGTTCCAGACCATTCTCTCCCCGGCCACCTCCACCAGCTCCTTCAGCAGGACCCGGCTCTCTAGGAGAGATGAGGAGGGGAGTAATAAAATTAGTGTGTCGGTAAATAATAACAAAGTGCTGTGTTGCTTAAAAAAACCAAGGATTTTATTACAAAACCAAGGGATATTTACAAAGAACCTAAAACCATACTATACACAAAACCGAGGAGCGATATACAAAAGGGAGAAAACGAAAAGTGCCACCCCAGAAGGGGGTGGGAGGGAAACTGAGAATAATAAATATATAACTGCTCAAAAGGGGAGATCCTAAATCAAAAGTCCAAAGCCGGTCCGAGGTCAAAATAGCCCAACGATCTAATCTAATTCCAATGTCAAAACCGAGTCAAATAGTCAAATACCAAAGGCGAGCAAACAAGCTTTATAAAAACGAACGAGGAGAAGAGAATAGTGCCAACTCCTAGGAGTTCACACTACTCTGAATTTTCTCAATGACTGAGGGCAGGAGAGCAGCTTTTAACAGCTGTCTAGTAATTACCGCTGATTATAGACAGCTGGGCAGTGGGAGACGGGCGAGGCAGAAGCCACGGGGGCCATCTTGTGGCCAAAAAGGGGCACGGCACGTAACATAAAACCTTTAACATCTCCCGTCTCGTCTCATCTTCTTCCGCCTATCCAGGTTGCAGGGGCAGCATCCCAACTAGGGAGTTCCAGACCATCCTCTCCCCGGCCACCTCCACCAGCTCCTTCAGCAGGACCCTAAGGCGTTCCTGGGCCAGATCGGAGATGTGCTTTCTCCAACGTGTCCTGGGTGGACCAGGGGGCCTCCTGCTGGCAGGACATGCCCGAAACACTTCCCTGGGGAGGCGTCCAGGAGGCCTCCTAACAAGATGCCCAAACCACCTAAACTGACTCCTCTTGATATGGAGGAGCAGCGGCTCTACTTCGAGTTTCTCCCGAATGTCCGAGCTCCTCACCCTATCCCTAAGACTGAGCCCAGCCACCCTGCAGAGAAAACTCCTTTCAGCCGCTTGTATCCACGATCTTGTTCTTTCGGTCATCACCCATCTCCATGAACCAGCCAATCACATCCCATGACTCCACATGTTTGACTGTAAGAAACAAACGTGTCACATGACAACAAAACACATCATTCAACTGGATAAAACATTTAAAAACTCAACAAACCATTTCACATGAATCAATGATCTGTGTCACATGACACAACTGAGTCACATGATTACATGACCCAAGCCAGAATACAAAACAAAATAAATCACATGGGGCAACTAAACTTACAACACAACACAACTATTCAAATAGCGTGATTCAGTCAACAACAACAACCAACTAATGTCAGACAACCTAAGAAACATTTCCCATGACTCAGCATTGTCACCACTTAATGTTTACCAGCAGGTAGTGGTCAGTTGACAGCTCCGCCCCTCTCTTCACCCGAGTGTCCAAGACACCGCATGCCAACCACATCTCTCCAGGCCATGTGAGCCTTAAAGTCCCTCAGGTGAAAGAAGGAGTCACTGGAAGGAGCGCTCTCCAGGACCTCCTCCAAGGACTCCAAAAGGGTGGGTATTCTGAACTGTAGTTTGGTGTATAAGCACAGACAACTGTCAGAACCCATCCCCCCGCACGTAGGCGGAGGGAGGCTACCCTCTCGTTCACCGTGGTAAACCCCAACATACAGGCACCTAGATACGGGGCATTTAGTATGCCCACCCCTGCTTGTCGCCTCTCAGTCGGGGCAACTCCAGAGTGGTGGAGTGCCCAGCCCCCTCAAGGAAACTGTTCTGGAGCCAGAGCCATGAGGTGATTCCGACTTAACCTAGTTGGAACCTCTCAACCTCACACACCAACTCTGGCTCCTGCCTTACCAGAGAGGTGACATTTCACATACCGAAAGTCAGCTCCTGTAGCTGAGGATAAGACCACCAAGGTCCCTGCCCCCAGCCACCACCCATCCCACATTGCACCCGACCCCTTTGGCCCCTCCCACAAGTGGTGAGTAATGAGAACGCTAACCCTCCAGAGAGCACGCTCTGTTAAATCCTCCAATAACACAGAACAGCTGTGATATGTCAGATTCCCGTCAGTCACAAGTCTTTCATTGGTTTTAGCACCAATTATGCAAAAAAGCCGTTTTTCGACCGACATAGTTACGTATTGGGTAAAAATTATCTGTGGATGAGGAACCAGCGTGGATGACTGAGACCTTCAGTACTGGTGTTCCCCCGTTCTACCACTAGATGCTGATCCTACACATGGTCAGAGCTGTTCTTATATTTGAAAATTTTTCATGCACAAGTACAAATTGGTAAATACCACACAATGCGTAAAATCGTTCCCAAACACAAAATACATACAGATCTGTTCATAAGTACTGATGATAAATGAGGGCCCTGGAAAGGATGCTTCCAATGTTCCGGAGGTGGAAGAAGAAAATCCTACAAACCTGTTTAATGTGGGATTTGAATGGCATCTCCTGGTCAAAGGTAACACCAAGGTTCCTTACTTTGTTCTCGGGGACTCATTTAATGCCTCATGAGTAAGCAAAAATTATTTACCAGAACTCAACAAAATAAACATCCCAGCTTAAGAAACCACACCAACTGCCCAAAATAAACTTGACTGAGAAATACAGAAGCTAAGGCAAGAAGGGTAGAGCATGCTGCAGCGTTGGTGTTCCAGCAAAAAACAAAATGATCAGAAAGGTGTGATAATAAAAAATATTGGAGTAATAATACAGACACACAGAGTCCCAGAGAGATTGTTAAGTTATTTAATATGTTTGTGCAACAGAAATATTATTTGTTTATTAAAAAGATGTTTCAGTATATTTTATTTCTTAATTTGTTCCTCAGATTTTTTTTCAAATACTGATCAACGTGCCTCATTCTGTTTATTTGATAAGCAAAAAGTTTGAAAGCCAACCTAGGCCGAGGCCTCCCATCATCGGTGAGTGCTGTTTAATAAATCCAGTGGTTTTGGAAAGTTGTGTTTAACCTCAATAGAATAAAAAAGATTCTCATAAGAACAACTTCACACAGAAACGTTGATCTGAGTCTGAATCAAACTGATTCCTTGAGCTATCGTGGATGGTTGTCTCCGGTATTTTCCATACGATTTGTCCGCAGTGAAATGCTCTTGCAGACTTTGTAAGGTGCTTTGAAACTCCTGGCTCTCCAGCTAGGACTCGATCACCTCATCATGGCTGCCTGACTGATCCTGGACCCTGTGACTCGCTAAGTCAGGTAACGTATCACTGATGCAGTTTCGGCAGAAGAAGAGCCATGCAACGTTCACGTCCTCTGCTCACTTCTTCATGATGGAGGAAATGTCCAGGAACATGCTCTAAAAGACAAACACAAGTGGGAAGAGCATACTTTACTCTAACATATTTATTAGTTCACTCTAAAACTGTTGGTGACTGAAGCAGATTTTTATTGCTATTCTGGGTCAAATATTAAATGTTTGGAGACATCCAAACTCGGTAAAAAGCTTTTGAACTTCAGAAAGTTTCACGCCCTTTAGAATAAGTCAGATAGTTGTGTAGACTTGTCATCTGGTGTTTTTCTAAACACGATTAATCTGTTAGGAGTTTGGAGAGTAACTTGAGGAAAGAGAGAATAGAAGTCCAGTCCATTGTCCAGCTGAGCCTCTTCAGTGCTGTCATGAATGAGATCTGAAACTCCACTTCATACGACGAGGTTGGTGTTGTTGTCTCACGACCTAACAAATATTGGGACTCTGGAACTAAGAGTGAAGATGTTCTGATGCTTGTTGAGTTTGGGTTAGGGTTGGGGTTGGTTACCTACTTGACCCAGTTTTCTAAAAGGAGTTTTAAAAATCACTGAAAATGATTTAATTCTTGCTTCTGCAATTGAACAAAATACTGGCCAAGTGTTTGTTGTATTGATGTATGAATTACTCTGCTGGAGGACAAAGTCTCCAGTATGAACCTATGTGCTTTGGATTCATGATAAGCTCTGAAATCTGGACCTACCATCGACATCCTTCGACCTCCAGCTGGCGGCATCATGGGCATGTCTCCCTGCAGGGAACCCAGTTCATCCGACTCCTCCGAGGAGTGTAAGGAGGGACTGGTGGAGCCAGTCATGGATGACAGGCTCTCAGATGGAGGTCTGACCATGAAGCTGGTTCTCCTGGGGTTGGGGATCAGGAGTTCACTCATAGTAGACTCTCGTCTATTGTCTTTAATAGGGTCCCTAATTGCTCCAGGCCTTAAGGTGTTGCTGGACAGCAGAGGGTCCAGATGACTGGACTGAGGATGCTCTTCCTCTTGGATTTCTGCTTGGCTTGCTGTATCTTCCTCCACTGTGGACATGGCAGAAGTCCAGGCTGGATGGTGAGCCTCTGGACTCTGGCTGGTTTGGGGCATTTGGATTCCACAGCTGTCCTCAGACGTGAGGGACATCCATGTCTGAGGACAGGTATAGCTCGTCTGACCCAAGTGAGCGAGGCTGTTGTGTCTCAGGGGCTCATGACTGGTTTTGAGTCCACTGCTGTGATGAAATGGCTTCATATCCACCTCCTGAATCACTTTAAAGGTCTGAGTCAAAGGTCCATTGTGAGGGGAAACATTGCTGATAACACAGAGTTGTGGTAACGAAGACTTCTTCTTGGACTTGTAAATCAAACTGTCGTCCTCCGTGTACCTGTCTCCGTACAGAGTCTGTTTGATTTTGCGGACACCTAGGTGGATTATCTCCAGAATGTTCAGAAAAAGTGACACCCCAGCAATGACGATCATAAAAACCATGAAGATGGTCTTCTCTGTAGGCCTGGAGATGTAACAGTCCACGCTGTTGGGGCAGGGCAGCCTCTCACACTTATACAGGGGCTCCAGGTGGACTCCATACAGAATGCACTGTCCAAGGATAAAGCAGACCTCCACCATAGATCGGGTAAGGATATGAATGATGTAGGTTCTCAGCAGAGGTCCTCTAAGAGGAGCCTTCTTCACCTTCCTCTGCTCCTCCAACCTCCTCAGCTCCCTCTCAATATGTTTATGCTCCTCCAGTGCCAACTCAACTTCATCCAGCTCCTCTTTCAGCTGGATCCGCCGCCGGTGACGCTCCTTCTCCAGCGTTCGGATGCAGTAGAGAGCATGGCCCATGTAGATCAGTGAGGGTGCTGACACAAAGATGACCTGCAGCACCCAGAAGCGAATGAGGGAGATGGGGAAGGCTTGGTCGTAGCAGACAGCTTTGCAGCCTGGCTGGTCTGTGTTGCAGACAAACTCAGACTGCTCATCATCCCAGACGTCCTCAGCAGCTGCACCCAAGATCAGCATGCGGAAAATGAAGAGAATGGTGAGCCAGATCTTTCCCACAATGGTGGAATGAATGTGGACCTCTTCCAGGATGCTTCCCAGCAGGTTCCAGTCACCCATGTCAGCTTTTCAACTCTTCATCGCGGCATACTCGAACTAAGGAAACACAGATTTGGCTCATTAGACTCAATAATGGTTGAAAGATGAAAAGTCACTTTTATATAAACTGACTCATTTCAGAGAAAAGTACACGGCACTGGGTTTATCTATTGGACCTTTATCTAGCGACCAAGCTGTGGAACAATCTCCCTTTGATTGTTTGGATGGCAGCAACAATGGATGATTTAAGTCCCATTTGAAGACTTATCTTTAGTACTGAATGAGCAGAAATCCTCAGACTGATTTATTGTAAATTCTCTTGTTACTGAGAGACAATTTTCACAGATTCCCGCTGGACAAAGCAAGTTATAAGAGACCTGAGAGGTCTCACAGCTGCAGGTGCACTCGTGCTGCCCGGTTTCCAGCTGCTGAATAAACGCCATTCTAGTTTCATGATTTGGTTCACACCACACACATTGCAGCATGTCAGACAAGAGTCACTGAGGAATTCATTCATTCAATCAATCAATCAATCAATCAATCAATCAATCAATCAATCAATCAATCAATCAATCAATCAATCAATCAACATAGTTTATTTGGTTATTTTAAAGATAGGAAAAGGAAAAACACAATAATACAAGGGTTGCAAGCAGTATAACCAAAAGGTGTACGCTGAAGCCTAGCTTACCGGCCCTATTTAGGCAATAATTTCTACTTAGAATGTTATAAAAAAAACTTAATTTAGTTAAATAGTAGTAGTAGTAATAATAATAGTAAAATAATAATGAATGACAACAAAAATAAAGTGCAAAAAACAAAGAATATCCAAAAAGACTACCAGTAATCTTAACATGAGTCAGTGAATAATTTTCATATAAACAGATATTTTCTATGAATATGAATACGGTGGTGCCGTGCTGGCCTCTCCTCACTGGCTTCCTGTCGTTTATTGGAACGATTTAAATGATTAGTTGTTGTTTTTAATTCTTTCAGGGATGTGACCTCTTATCTAGCGGCGCTCTTGAAGATATATTTGCCCTCTGCACTCTTCGGATCAGAGCCTCCTTTGTGTCCCTCGCTCTAAATGTCAAACTCGCTATTTATAAACAAAGTTTTTGATTGATTAATAGTTTCAAGTGTACATAAAACATTTTTAGTTACATCTGACATTCACTGCATCGCATACAGTTGTTATAGTAATTAGGGTTGCAACGATTATACATTTTGGTGGTACGATTATGGTCTGAGAAATATTAATGGTTTCACAATTACCACAATGATTTGATAAGAATTGATTTCACATCTATATTAGCACACATAAATCACACACACATTGCATGAATCATTGATAAAAGGCATGATGACATTGTATAAAGGCTTTGAGCCCCTGAAACATCTGTAAAAAACTGCTTAGAAAAATTCACCCTACCACTGATCTGCAACGTTGATGTTTTCTCTCCACCAATAACACAAGCCTGGAGGAGTTCTGCTGTGTGGTGGAGGTGCTAATGCAGAAGGCTTCAACTAGCATAGACGTTTTCTGCTGTTTCCTGACCGCTAAACCAACAACAGCTTTCCTCGCCGTGAGTCCAGACGGGTGACTCCATGAATGTTAGTGACATTGGGACGTAGATCTGTCAGGATTTTCTAATCCTAGAGTTTCACCATCTGATTTCTATAAGAAGCTACTGCAGGAGATACGTGTAGGAGACTATTTTCCATCAGAAGGTAATGCAGGAGATACGTGTAGGAGACTATTTTCTATCAGAAGGTAATGCAGGAGATAGGTGTAGGAGACTATTTTCTATCAGAAGGTAATGCAGGAGATAGGTATAGGAGACTATTTTCTATCAGAAGGTAATGCAGGAGATACGTGTAGGAGACTATTTTCTATCAGTAGGTAATGCAGGAGATAGGTGTAGGAGACTATTTTCTATCAGAAGGTAATGCAGGAGATAGGTGTAGGAGACTATTTTCTATCAGAAGCTAATGCAGGAGATAGGTGTAGGAGACTATTTTCTATCAGAAGCTAATGCAGGAGATAGGTGTAGGAGACTCTTTTTTATCAGAAGCTAATGCAGGAGATAGGTGTAGGAGACTATTTTCTATCAGAAGCTAATGCAGGAAATAGATGTAGGAGACTATTTTCTATCAGAAGCTAATGCAGGAGATAGGTGTAGGAGACTATTTTCTATCAGAAGCTAATGCAGGAGATAGGTGTAGGAGACTATTTTCTGTCAGAAGCTACTGCAGGAGATAGGTGTAGGAGACTATTTTCTATCAGAAGCTACTGCAGGAGATAGGTGTAGGAGACTATTTTCTATCAGAAGCTAATGCAGGAAATAGGTGTAGGAGACTATTTTCTATCAGAAGCTACTGCAGGAGATAGGTGTAGGAGACTATTTTCTATCAGAAGCTAATGCAGGAGATAGGTGTAGGAGACTATTTTCTATCAGAAGCTAATGCAGGAAATAGGTGTAGGAGACTATTTTCTATCAGAAGGTAATGCAGGAGATCGGTGTAGGAGACTATTATCTATCAGAAGCTACTGCAGGAAATAGGTGTAGGAGACTATTTTCTATCAGAAGCTAATGAAGGAGATAGGTGTAGGAGACTATTTTCTATCAGAAGCTAATGCAGGAGATAGGTGTAGGAGACTATTTTCTATCAGAAGCTACTGCAGGAGATAGGTGTAGGAGACTATTTTCCATCAGAAGCTAATACAGGAAATAGGTGTAGGAGACTATTTTCTATCAGAAGCTAATGAAGGAGATAGGTGTAGGAGACTGTTTTCTATCAGAAGCTACTGCAGGAGATAGGTGTAGGAGACTATTTTCCATCAGAAGCTAATGCAGGAAATAGGTGTAGGAGACTATTTTCTATCAGAAGCTAATGAAGGAGATAGGTGTAGGAGACTTTTTTCTATCAGAAGCTAATGCAGGAAATAGGTGTAGGAGACTATTTTCTATCAGAAGCTAATGCAGGAAATAGGTGTAGGAGACTATTTTCTATCAGAAGCTAATGAAGGAGATAGGTGTAGGAGACTATTTTCTATCAGAAGCTAATGCAGGAGATAGGTGTAGGAGACTCTTTTCCATCAGAAGCTACTGCAGGAAGTAGGTGTAGGAGACTATTTTATGTTCAGCCTGCATGAAACACTCAAAGTGACTGATTGTCACAAATAATCATTAAAAAGGGTTTTCAGTGGACGACACCTTTAATTATATTTACCTAAAAGCCTTTTTGAGTTCCTGTAAAGGTTAGCTCTGAAGGATGGAGACACCTTCATGAACGAAGATACTATCTTCCTACTAGTGCTGCTGTTATTATAAATATTACTTATTACTCAAATGTAATTTCTACTTGTTCATGTCTTTTCAAATTTAATCAGTAAGAATATTTTCTGGACAAAGATGAATTATATGTAGAACAGGAATTACAGAGAGGTGTTGTTGATTAAATACTAAAATGGCTTGCCGTACAGGCTTGTTGTAGACCAGGGCTATTCAAGTTTGGGCCTCGAGGGCCGGTTTCCAGCATGTTTTAGTGGTTTCTCTGCTCCAACTCACTAGATTCGGTGGTTGAATCACCTGTGCAGCAGCTCATCAGACTCTGCAGAAGCCTGTTAATCACCTGCTGATTGAAATCAGGTGTGTTGAAGCAGGTTACAACTAAACTGATACCGGCCCTCCAGGACCAGGACTGAATAGCCCTGTTGTAGACAGGTACAGGGGAAACGTAGAACAACACTAAATGAATCGTCGTTCACTGGAATATTACTGTTAATCTGTTCAGTCACTATCCTAATCTGACTCAGCAGGAGCTAATCTGTCTGCGTGATGATGTCAGAGATGATAACAAGTTGGGAGTTTCTTCCAGCTCTGCAGATGGATGATCATTGTTCTGAATTTCTCTTTTAGCAGCTTTGGGAGTCTAAAATATTCCCTCACAGGAGACTTGAAGCACTTCCTAGGTGGAAATGGAGCGGTCCCGGTGGTTGGTGATGCTGGTTCTGCTGGGTGAGTTTATTTATTTATTTATAGTTTTGGTCCGCTAACGTCTTTTTTTTTTTTTTTTTTTTTTGTGGTGTTGGTGGGTTAACCACAGCGTGTCCCACTGTGGTTAATAGTCAAACCAGTTAGGCATTATGGTTTTGATGTACATCTTTTAAAGATTTAACTGTGGTACAAGCCCCGATTTCAATCAGTCAATCAAACTTTATTTGTTTAGCACTTTTCATACAAAAGAAAATGCTGCTCAAAGTGCTTTACAGATTAAAATGACCCCATTTAACCCATAATCCCACCCCTTCCCCACAAATATAAAAACAACTGTGACTGTTAACACCGCCAGACACACACACACACACACACACACGCACACGCACACGCACATGCGCACACGCACACGCACACGCACACAAACACACACCCTAAAAAACAGCATAAGTAAACACTAGGCGGAGTTCAGATGGGTTAGGTAATGAATGTCTAAGTTATTCCATAGTTTGAACACAATATTCCATAGAACACAGTCTGGAAAGATATTGTTATACACTTTAAAAAGTACTGTTAGTAATTTGATCAGGTCTGTAAATTAGAGTATATTCAGTTTTATGAACAGGTGTGTGTGTGTGTGTGTGTGTGTGTGTGTGTGTGTGTGTGTGTGTGTGTGTGTGTGTGTGTGTGTGTGTGTGTGTGTGTGTGTGTGTGTGTGTGTGTGTGTGTGTGTGTGTGTGTGTGTGTGTGTGTGTGTGTGTGTGTGTGTGTGTGTGTGTGCGTGCAGTTAGTTATTATTCTCATTGCTCTTTTCTGTAATAAAATGTTTTTTTTTGTGAGTTTGTGTTTCCCCAGACATTGTGTGTGGAGGTACTAATGTTTGCTATAAGAGTAGTAAAGATTAAAAATATATTTTGATTTATTTATTATTGCAATAATTTTAGACATTTTCTATTTGCGGTTTCCAGCTCAGCCTCTGGTCTACTGTAGCACTCATAAATTTGTTTTCATTTACTCTTTCAATTTCTTCCCCATTTATTATTAATTTAGAAAGATTCTTTTGTTTCTGTTTTCCAAACACAGTGTATTTAGTTTTATTTCGATTTATTGATAATTTGTTGCTATCAAACCAGGTCTTCAGTTTTTCTGGTTTTATCCAACCGTGTTCAGAAGCTGTCCCAGGTCTTTCCCAGTGATAAACATATTGGTATCATCTGCAAAGAGCATATCGTTCAGTTTATTGGTTACTTTAATGATGTCGTTGATGTAAAGTGTAAATAACTTGGGTCCTAACACTGAACCTTGGGGAGCCCCACAGGACACTAGTGTTGTTGTTGATTTTACATTATGGATTTCTGTGTATTGTTTCCTTTCTGTTAGGTAACTCTTTAACCAGTTATGTGCTGTTCCTCTTATGCCACATTTATATAGT